AACATGGCAGTTCAACATAATGGATTCAGTACAAGAGGCTCCGCTCCTGTGTAGAAAACAGCTCATTCTAAAGCAACAAAAACACAATGATTCTTATTTTAAGGTGATTATACACTAATATAAACCAAGAATCGTCTTTCTGCCTGTAAAGCTTCCTATGTGATTATAGAAGGCAACTCCATACAGATTTCACAACAGTAATTACACGTCTTAAGACAACATTCAGGACAGTCAGAACAACACTCTCGACATCTCCTAGAACCAGAACCTTCAGCATCATCTGCTCTTTTGTCACAGGTCAGACAGACAACTATCAAACTAAGGATCATGATGGGTATTGCCACCACAAGAACAATCTTATGAGCAGGAGGCGGCATGTCACCTGAAACGATAAGACACAGAACAGCAATGTGTTTATGTAGAAGTGAACACCTTGTTCTTGTTTGTCATTTTTTAAAACTCCACTAGGTTATCATCCATTTTCCCTAAAAATGAGCATTTCATCACATTGTGATATTTCTACTTACCAACAGCAAGACTGATGAAAGACTCTTTGTTCAGTTTTGGAATATAGCATCTGTATGTCCCGTTATCAGAGAGTTCCACTCTGGAGAGTTTCAGTGAGACGTCTCCTGCTTCAGTGTGTTGTTGGACACTGACGTTCTTCCTTTGTAAGACGGGGTTTTGATCAGTCAGTGCGTCCTCGCCTTCATGCCTCACATGGACAAATCTGTGTCCCTGGTCAGGTCTGGACCACTCTAGAGTCGTCGAGGCAGGATCTACGGCAGATTCCAGGTGGCAGGGAAGGATGGTGTCTTCACCTACTATTGCCACTATTGGCTGAGATATATTAACCACCACAGAATGACCTGTGATAGAAACATGATTCATGTTGTGAGAAAATCTTTTCACCAGTGGCTGAAAGAACCTGACACACTGCAACTTAGCCCTTGTGGGTTTAATTGACATTAGCCACAGCTACTGTATGTGTAACAATGGTAATAAGTGCAAAATATGTAAAGGTTAATGCCAGACGAGGTGTCCGCTATCAGGAATGAATGGCTTCTGCCAAGTCCATTAAAAGTTTTTTACAAGCCATAACTCCGTGTTCCCATAACGTTCTAATGCAGTGGAAATGTTGTTCCACTCCTCCAGTAAATAGGACAGAACATAGATATGACTCTGCAACAGGAGATGTTTACTGCTCTCTGCTTATAGAGCGCTTTGCTTCAGCTACGAGCCAGAAGTGTCAGCCTTTTTGTTTGACATCAACTGTGCTAGTGTAAATTGGAGGAAATTCCCATGACAAGGCATTGGTATCACACGGACATGAAGAAGAAATGTGCACATATATGTTGTATATGATATATGAGACAATGTAAGAACAAATATGTGTATATATATTATATATATTGTGTGTGAGTTTACCTGTGGTGCCTGGGAGGCAGTGGAGGACAAACAGCAAGAATCCAAAGCATCTACACAGACTCATTGTACTCTGTGAACCAAGAAGAAAAGACAAGCAGAGAGTGTAAACACATCACCCATGATCACCTTAAATTTAAGTTGAATTGAATTCTGCACACCACAATACAAATGTACTTTACTTTATTTACTTATGGTAAAGAAAATGTCTCTTTACAATCTCACAGTATCATAATTAAAATTCATATACTTGTCACTGGTGCACTAAAAGTTTATTTCATTTTATACCATTCGTATAATTAAAAGAGGCATAGTTTTACTAAAGAAATTAAAAAAGCTAAATTCAAATTAAGAAAGCAAAATGTACCTTTTAAACAATGTCACAATCTTGTGCCCTAAGAAAGAGAACAGAAGACATTGGAAACACTAGAGTGAAACATGAAATACTGTATAAATAATGCAAATTATACAATATCTGTATGTATGATTTCTATGTTGCTCATCTATGTAGAGTTACGATACAGATTGTATTATCATTGAATTCATGTTTATTCTGCCAGTAATCATCATCTGCTGCATGATGTCACTGTCAATACCTCAATAAGTTTTTTATATTTATTTAATGTTGTTCAGCCATAAAGTCAAAAAGGAAACATTATTATAGCTGTAATTAAAAACATGTTTTTTTGAAAATGTATGAATAACTATTATTATTATTGTGAGAACATAAATTTACCTCAAGTAGCGAGATGTTCCATTGACGCTCTACAGGTGACAGTGGTTCTTTTTATATACTTTTACTTCTTGAAATTTGACACCATACTGTATTTCCTTTTCAGAACAGAAAGACTGTGGGAGGGATATACAGTCCATGTATGTGACTTCTTTAGAATTTGCTGTACACGTGTTTCGTGTAAAAGAATGTGCTCAGCATTTATGTCTACAGAACAAAAACAAAATTGTTTGTGTGTTCATATTGTCACGTAACTTTCAGTTTGTATATAAAGGTTGTTATTGACAAGTGTTGTTGTCAATAACAGGTTTAACTTCAATTCTTTAGACTAAAAACAATTTTTCTCTTTCACTGGAACAACAGGTAATTTGATCCTATTATTTATCTCCCCGTAATGAGTTCTCAATTAACCCTGTGTTATTGTTCAGTGGTTTTTTATGCTCATCTGATCAAAGAAAAAGGAAAGGAAATATGTTCCGTAGAAATTCTGTCTGTTTGCCTCTGGCTGCTCCAGCACCCCTCATGATGTGATAGAAACATGATTCATGTTGTGAGAAAGTCTTTTCATCAGTGGCTGAAAGAACCTGACACACTGCAACTTAGTGCTTGTGTTTAATTGACATTAGCCACAGCTTCTGTATGTGTAACAATGGTAGTACGTGCAAACTATATAAAGGATAATGCCTAACAAGGTGTCCATTATCAGGAATAAATGGCCTCCTTTAATTCTTTATAATAGACACCTAGAATCATGGGCCAAAAAAGGAGCTAATTTTTTATTTCATATGTTTTATAATCAAAATATACAGTATACAATATAAGTTTTTCACAAGCCATAACTCTGTGTCTCCATTAACATTTAAGAATCATTACCATCCCATAAGGTTCTAATTCATTGGAAATCCAGTAATTAGGATGAGATGTTTCTAATGTTGTCTATTTTTTATGGAAGCCCATTTCCATTAATATGACTCATTATAATGAGAAACTTTCTCAAAATGATGAGATACTTTCTCAGTATTTTGACTTAGTATCTTAATATAATGAGAAGCTTAAATTAGAATAGGCCTGTGTGTTGTTTCCCTTATATGCTCCAAAAGCAACAGAAGCAGCTGAATGAGACAAAGTTTGGGTGACCAAATGGATATTGTCATTGAAGACTACTTTAGACGTGTATTCACAAATTGTGAGATCTTATATCAGTCTCTGGACCCTAGAAAGAAAGCTACAAAGAATCCACTCTGGCAAAGACGACATAAGACAGATATAGCTGAAGTAGCACACTTCATTGACCAGCAGTTACAAATATCCGGCAGCATCACTACAGATGGATGCACCAGAATTTTTTTAATATATGATGTTTATTATTCTCATTGCTGGTATGTTTAAGGTTGTCATCATTTTAACTATATTTACTGTTGAGTGCTTAACTCTAGAGGAATGCATATTATAATAGGTTACGATCATCATATGTTTGCAGCCTGGCTGTCCAGTGAGAATCACTTATCTCTAAAAAGTCAACTTTTCATGAGCTCAGAACAAAGCCTCTCGGCTTAGATAATTAATAAACATAGTTAATAAAGGCAGTAAAATGTAGTAAATGTATTAGTATCCTAATGTCTGTTTCATTACCTGCACTGCTGTCACACCATATGAAGGGCATGATTTGAAAGGATAAAACTTACTTACCTACCTACTACTACAAAAGGCGGTCCCAACTTGTTGAACTTTATTAATTTATTTCATAAGAAAAAGGATTGGAAATGTTAAAGTGGTTCAGTAATTTCTAATAAACTCCCAAGCAACAGAAAATACAACTAAAAGTTAGTGGTCAAAATGGGCATGCTGTCACCACCAGGACACTGAACACACAGTGGCTGGTTAGGTCCATGATATGATTGTTATTCAGTCACCTGACTAACAAATCTTCCTGTTGTAATATATAAAGTAGTTAAAAACACAATTGATATAGAAATTATAGTAACCAAATGGTTGTGGAGAATAAAATGAAATAACATATTGTGGCTAGGAATGAGAGAATGAGAGCTCTTAGCAATGTAATGATACCTAACACCGGGGACAAGAACTCAGAAACCCACCAGGAGCTGCAGTTCTGGAGATGCTCTGATCCGTCCAGCCATCACAATGTGGCCCTTTTTTCTGTGAGAAAGAAGAAAAGATGAAAGTAACATCTGTATGTGTGGATTATTTACAGTATTTTAAGCCTTATTAAGGTTGTTTTTAAAGATGTACAAAGAAACAGGACAAAACTCTAAAATATTCTAATGAACTACAAACACTACGTCAGACAAACTCATCTCTCTGCCTGTTTGTTTCTTCCACTAATGATGATGAAAATATCCTGACCTGCTCTCCTCTGCCTCTGATTGGCTGACTTTAGCCAAAGCCACTTCTCATGTCAGCCACTGAAAGCAAAGACCCGCCCTACTCGTGATAGGTATATCTCTCTGATCTATCTATCTATCTATCTATCTATCTATCTATACTCAGCCAATCAGAGGTTTCTGTCTGGGCCATGTGTGTTTGTTATGTTTGACTTCCTGGAGGCGGAAGATCCGCCCTCTTACCCAGCTCTTATTGGTCCAAATCCATCACCATTGGTTACAGCATTAAAACATTATTTATCAGTTTATACACTTCCCTCTGTTCTCAGTTGATATTACAGTAGATAGAAACCTTATATTGTCTGCCAGTAGAGTTTAGAATACAACAGTTGACTTATTACCATTATTATATATCAGGCTCTACATGGTGGAGCCCCTGAGCACATTTCTGAATGACTGCGTCCATATTGGATCTTAAAGTCTCTCAGGTCAGCTGACCAGGGTCACTGCAAGTTCCCTGAGCTCCACTTCATAATGAAGACCGACCTTAAACTCTCTAACAGTTTACCTCTTACTGTCAGATAATCAAACTCACCTGATATATATTCCCCTCCCTGTTTGTGTGTTCTGCTTTATTGTTGATGATGTTTCAGTTTTACTTATTTATATAGAATATATTTATTCTGAGCAGCTGATGTTGACACTGTCCTGTTGTGTGGCTCCCTCTAGTGTTGAAGAAATGACACTAACAATATAAAGTACATAGAGCATGTGCACATATCTCCAGACGTTATGATGACCAGAGAGTTGAGTATTTAATTGTTTAATTAAATAAAATGAATGAACAGTAGTGTTTATAATTATTCCCTGAGGGAGGAAATGTTGAGTTCAATGCAAACTTATTAAAAAAATGTCATAAAAAAGTTAAAACAAAAATCTTTTTATTTCCAAACAATCACAGTTTCAGCCTCCTGGAGTCCAGATGTTAGTATACAGAACAGACAGCTGTTATATGACAACAGACTGCATTTCATACAGTATGGTGATTTTCACACACAGGGCAGTAAAAAGAAGATAACATGAAGCAGAAACAATGAATAAATAAAATACCGGGAGTTAAACAATGTAAGGAAATAAATGCAACCATTGATACTTACACACACAATTTAACAATGGCACCTTAAAATAATAAAAGTGCTTTTCATTATTCCTTCTGGTTAAACAATTCTACACTGTAAAAGTCAATAGAGGGAGCTGGACATTAATATTGGACAGAGATTGAATCCAGTTAAAGTATCTGAGACACCAACTCTGTCCCTGCAGTGGTTTATACAATCAACACATCAGGAAGAACTTCTGAACAATTCCCTACAGCTGCATTTCAATCAAGAATATTACACAATCAACATTCACATAGAAAGAAGTTCTGGATAAAATGGTCTGTATTTCTTCTTCAAACATAACTCTGCTCTGTACTGACCCACAAAGTACTTCAAATGAGTTCAACCATAAATATCTACAACAGTGAAATGCAGTAAAAAAAAATGAAACCAAAAACATCATTTATAAAAGTAAAACAGAGACAGGGAACATTTTACTGCACACTGAGTACTTGCAGATGATACTTAATGATACACAGCGCCACCATGAGGTCAAACAGGATCATCCAGTTTATGGTGAATACAAAGGAAAAGCTCTCACATAACTTCAGTCTGTACTGACTGTATGAACCTTTAGAAAAACACATTCTGACATTTTCACATCAGAACATTGTTATCTTTGCTTAATGTGCATGTTGGTTATTTTTTCTGATTAACCTGTCATCACTCCTGCTGCGTGATTGTGGGATTATGTGGTTTTGTTTTCTACCTTGGTGTTAGTGAGGTTGTTTCTTGTTGGGTTTGTCTGCTTGTTCTTCCCCCCTTGTCCTCTCTCTCTGTCTCCACTCACCTGCTGCTCACCCCAATCAGCACACCTGCCTTGATCAAGACTGACCTCACCACTATAAGAAGCCTGGCTGACATCCAGTCCCTGCTTGATCGTTGTACCACACCCAGTATGTTGTGTGCCTTGCTTCACCTCCTTTGAACTTGTTAGCCAGCTTACCAAATTCTTATAACGGTTTCCTCTGCTACCAGATTCGCCTGTCTGCCAGCTCTCTGCACCAGTTTGCCTCTACCACCTTCTACAGGACTCAAACCCCAGACTTCAGCAGTCTCCAGACCATAATTAAAACTTTATGTTCACTACAACCAGTCTCAGTCTGCTTTTGGGTTCAGCCTCAGAATCGTGACAACCAGGATGTTTTACTGGAGGTACCTGATTTTTCTGTCATTATTCCAACGGGATTGCTTTAGCATTGTCACTCTGTGGTGGAAGATATTCTCTCTCTTGTCCTTCTGAACACATAATAACAACACAAAACAAGTTATCAGTCAGTGACCAGGGAGAAAGAGAAAGGGTGATTATTTTATCAGCCCAAGCAGAGTCAGTCAGCAGTGGAGTGATGACACTTGTTGTTATTGACAGTGAGGAACTACAAGTAAAGGAGCTTGTCCCAGATCAACCATCATAATCAGACAGCAGGATAGTGAGAAAGCTCAGACACACTGTACATGAGAGGCAGGGTGCAGACCCCCCAATAAATGATTTCTAAATAAATGATGGAGTTATAAACACATATTAGCTGATATTAGCTTTAGATACACTTCTAAACACGTTTCCATGTAAGGAGGACTGTAGATTGTTCCCCTCATCACTTCCATTGAAAGTACTTTAGGAAGAGATCTTTAATGTCCAGTATAACAGGAGGAACCATTACAGCAAAGAAAAACCTGTTTCACTGTTCACTGTTGTTTGAAGACTGACTGAAAAACTGTAAACTGTCTTTTTAAATGGAGAGAATGGGAGAGAGAAGATTATTGACTTACTTCTATTTCTACGTTTCATCCACAATACAGCCAATGCAACAATGCCAGCAATGACACCAAAAGCAATGCCAGTTATAACACCAGTGTTATTACCAGTGCCACCACCTGAAAGAACAGAGGAAAGATGTTGAGATTTGTTCTTCACTGTTCCAAGATAACATCCATCAACAATATTTCCACAGTCACTTCTCCTGTGGTTGATGGTCACAATACTTGCCAAAGGGTCAAGCAGACTCAAGAGGCTTTGTTGGCGGTCCCATAAATGGACATTTATTTACAGGTGCTTCCAGGAAATGTGTAAAACAAGGAAGCCAGAAAAAATATTAACATGAGAAACTGAGGCTAAATCAACTCATAACAACAAAAGAAAAACAACATTTACAGCACAAGCCCTCCCCTCTCCAGCCAGCCTTTCCCTCTTAGATGTCCCATGACGTCAGCCTAGAAATGAAACACAGAAAGGTACACAAGTGACAGATGGTGTGGATGAATCCACTTTGTCACAAGGACACGGGACAAATGATAGGAACAAATCAGGGACTCATCAATGAAATGAAACTGAGAATAACTTTGAGCAGAGCTCTAAAACACTGATTTGACCTTTGAGGCAGACTGTTGTATAATGCAGTGTTTCTCAGATGGGGCTACTGTACCCCTAGAGGTACTTTGCAGTATGGCAGGGCAGTAAGTTCATTTAAAAAATATCGATCATGCATCGTTCTTACAATAATGAAACAACAGAAAATGTCAGTGTGAGTCTGATGAACTCATTTTCATCATTTTATATTCAATATTCCTGTTTTCAGTGCAATCATGAACTGCAGTAAGTACCAGGAGTACCTGTCTGTGTGTCTGAGGAAAAAAGATTAAATATGAAAATATGTGATAAACTTTAGGCCAACAGGAAGAGTAGACGACATTGAATAGAGACACAAATGAAATATTTACTCACCGATATCATCAGTCTGACCTCCTTTGTTCCTGCTCTCCTCTGGCTCTGTTGGACAATTAATACAAAACACATAACAGATAAAATTTCCTCTTATTTCATTTAAATGTGTAATATGTTAGCTGTACTCACCAACAGTGAGGTTAATGAAGCCTCTCCTGACCTGACTTTGCAGTTTAGGAACATTGCAGGTGAAACTTCCAGCATCCAGTTCAGTTACGTTGGTCAGTTTTAGTGAAATGTTTCCTCTGATCATTTCTTCATGGAAGACAGATGTTCTACCTCTGAAGTTCTCATCCTGAAGATCTAGATAGTCCTTCCTGTTTCTGTAGACATGCACGATGGTTTTATCACATGTCCACTCCACCGTTTGAGTTGTCATGTCGGATGGAGGCTCCAGGTGACATGGCAGAATGGCGTTATCACCGACTGTTACTGTAACTGGTTTGTCGGAGCCAATCACATCAGACTGTGCTGCAGAGACATACATCATATTTACACTTTCTGTTACAGAATGAGCATGTTGTTTCTCAATATGGTCTGAATTGAGAATTTATTTTTAAAGGTGTTTTATTTGTACACAGTAAAGCCTTTATACATCTGTAAGAAAGTTCCAGTCTGACTTACCAACAATGAGCTGGATGGAAGCTTCCTTCTGTAATGAGGGAAGGGCACATTGGTATCTTCCTGTATCAGAAACTTTCACTTTGAAGATTTTCATGGAGACGTTTCCTGTCATCAGTCCATCCATAAACAGTCTCGTGCGGAGATAATAAGATGGGTTTTGATGGTCAAACATCAGTCGTCCATCCTGGTGAAAGTGGATGTACTTTGGGTCTAAATCAGGTCTGGTCCACTCCACTGTCTCATCAGAAACACTGATGGGAGGTTCAAGGTGACATGGTAGAATGACATCATCACCAGCCAGGACTGTGATTGGTTGATGTGAACAAATCAACTGTGAGTTTGCTGTGAGGAAAACAAAAGAACAAACAAGAAACAGCAGTTAGGTTAAAATACATATCATCAAAAGTCCAGCTGCACCTCTGGAGACGAGGGAGGGGGAACTTTGCCCACCAGTGTTTAATGTGTACACAAAAGAACAGGTTCTAGGTTCTTTCCGTTGACAATGGTTTTATTCTTACATGCTGGAACAAGCATTAAACCACCTGCTCCAACTCACCTGTACTTTCAGAAGCTGTAGAATTACTGGTAATCAAACATCAGATATTGTTAAATTAAAGGTTTTTGATGAACAGACTGTTATTACTCAACTGGCCAATGACACAGACTCTGTATTTAACCTCAGCTCAACTAGAGGATAGATGAACAGATTACAAGTGTTTGTGGGTAAACAGTGAAAAGCTTATTCTGCATTCCTGTCTCATCAAAAATAAAGGACAGAGCAAAATATGTTCATATTCACATGATATCTATGCACATAACACACAGTCTTAACTCTAATGATCTTTTGTATCATTTCATAACACAACCTTGTGTTGTACAGTGATCAATACATTTCCTTGATTGCAGTTGGCCATCTGTGTCATTTATTCAATGTCTAAAAGACCTGTAGGTTAAAGAGTTGAGATAAAAAGAGGAAGGTTCAACGTCTAAATGTAACAGACGTTACTGATGGATGATAAGATTTGACCTCTACTAACACTTTCACTTTTCAATCCTGAAAAACCCGAAACCAAATGTCTACAGACAAATGAGTAATAATAAAAGAGAATAAAATCTCCCCTTTTAGCATTTTGACATGTAGAATAAACCCCAGCCAAGCATCAGCTATTCTTCCACCACACACACACACACACACACACACACACACACACACACACACACACACACACACACACACAGTCATACACACCTATACACACTGTAACCACATAAACACAACACACACACAAAGAACACACCTCTTTAAACAAACACAGAAATAGAAACGGAAGAAAAACTATTTGTCAGACTGAGCAGATTAAAGTAGTTCAGGCATCCCTGCCTCATCAACCCCTTCAGATTTAAGAAGAACTTAAAAACACTTTCAACAATCTGAACCAAACGTGTACAGACAAATAGACATATAATAGATATAAAAACATAAATTGCTCAGTGGACTCACCATCGTCTGCCAGACAGAGACACATCAACTGCAGAAGAAACTTCATGTCTTTCGTTGGGCCTTACGTAGGGTTACTATGGTAAGGAGGGTCTATGAACCAGGGGTCCCAAACTTCTTGGGGCCACTACTGTTAATGCTGTAGGAAGGCACCTTTAACATTTAAGTTCTACAAGAAAGCACAATATTCTGAAGATGTCATTTATATCATTGTATATTAAATATTAAAATTTATTAGTTAATGAATTTCTACAACATGTGCAACATATTCGCCTCTCTTAGAGACACAATTTAAACCAGAGCAGCTGGTTGTTTCCTACACAGTGAACTGTGGAGGATAATATTTCTAGTGCTCATTTCTTTTTTTTATTCACTACTTTATTTTGGTGTTTTAGTGTTGACTCACATAGTATTTCTGCAGCCAGTGAGGCTTCTGATTGGCTAGCAACAAAAAACACTGAAAGTTTTATCTAACCTTCTCAGGAAAGGCCGTTCAAATTTAAGGCCATAATGATTTTTTAAATGAAAACAGAGCCAACTTTCCTTTAAAAAATAAAAATTACAATATGATTCTTATAATGTAATTTGAGCCTATTGTTCCTTTCATTTTCTCCAAAACCATATAATAAATGAAAAAGCTATTGCATTGGCTCACTGAACATCCTATGTGTTGTGCACACAGAAACACAGGATCAACAGTTTATTACAGTCAGTGGGTCGGTTACTGTTTGTACAGGTGTTTGATGGATGTGGATGATTGATTTTTTCCACGCAAAAAGAATATTGAAGAAATGTTACAAATCTGAATAATTAAAAGCAAACAAAACTAATAATAATAAATAAGTAAGATCATTAAACTTACATCATTAATGGATCCACAATCTGATCTTATTTTCTCTTTTCTTCTTAACATAGAATCCTTTAGCAGGTTCTCTTTGTTCTTCTTGGTGAGGTTTGAAGGGAAAAGAGGGAAATCTGATCTGAAGTGTGGAGCTTTATAATCCTGGGGGACTGGTTTAGAGAGCAGTGGCAGTTATCCAGGTGGGAGGAGACTTGTGATTTCACAATAAAATCAGTCCAAATCTCCCATGAGTACAGTGGAGGTCATCCTATACAGGATTCCACTGAAAGATTTAGTAACTTGCTAAAAAAATGAAATATGACCATTCAAATATGAAGACAGTGTGATTACTATAATGAAAATTAAACAGAGTTTCCCTTTAATTATTTAGAGTACGGGCGCCTGGTTAGCTCAGTGGGTAGAGCTGGCGACCCATGTACTGAGGCTGAGTCCTTGCTGCAGCGGCCCACGGTTCGAATCCAAGCTGTGGCCCTTTGCTGTGTGTCATCCCCTCTCTCTGCCCCCCTTTCCTGTCTATCTACAGCTGTCACTATCATAAAGGCAATGAAAGGCAAAATACTTTTCTTTTTTTTTTTTTTTTTAATTATCTAGAGTACAGTAAAATAGTTTCAGCTAACCTACTGAAGAAAAGGAAATATGAAAACTCAAACGTGAGGCAATATAAATTGTTAGGATGTAATTTTTTCCTTCAATTTTCTCAATATCTTAAATACATTTACTTGATTCCAGTAGACCATCTGTTTGTATTTATTCAGCACTCAGTATCTAAAAGACCTAGATTAGAGTTTAGCTAAACCTGGTGGAGATGAGTTGAAAGGAGGAGGTTTAACTTTACAACCCTGAATAACCCCAATGAGAAATAGACACATAATAGACATAAAACATATTTTTAACGTCTAATTGCTCAGCGGACTCTGACCCCCCGGATAATGACTAAGACAGCGTTCCAACTCCTGTGCACTGCTGAGCTGTCTACCTAACCCCTAACTGTTGCTGGAGGCCCATCACTCCTCAGTCACATGTCTATTAACCCTGTGTGTCCACGATTGTATTTGGAGACAAGGGAAACAAGAATCTCCCCATTGAGGATTAATGAAGGACATTTTCTTCTTGTTCCATTTCAGTTTCAGCCGATGGATCACTGTTTGTGCATTTGGCTACAAACCAATTACGCACAGCAGTCTACTTATTAAAGATTGTATTAATAAGAGACAGTTTGAAGAATATTTATTTGTTTAGTATTTTAGTGTTCGACTGGTTGATTTGAACCCAGTTTTTATTCTATTTTTGATTATTTAATGTATTGATTTGAATAATTGATTGACAGTTGCATCTCAAAATGTATTAATGTTTGTAACCTCTGGGATGTTGTTTGTTGTTGTTGTCTTTTTTTCCCTTTTGAGCAACTACAATGTCGATGAAAACTGTAAAACTCTTCCTTGTTCTTTCTAACTGAACGTTGTTTCACAGACAAACACTGAAAACAGAACTGCTCACCAAAGCTGATCTGAGAGCAGCCACTGAGAGGAGAGACAGTGGTGATGGATTATTGTTGTAGACAAATGAAAAGGTTGGAGCTACAGTGGTACACTCTCACATACAGTAATACATTGAACTATTGCAGCTTCATGTTGTTCAGGTAGCATCATTCTGTTTGTGCATTGAGAAATGAACATTAATATCCTTTAAATATTCTACTATTAATTACTGAGAGTTATACACAATGAAGTTCTAACAAACTCACACTGACTTTGATTTTCTTCTTACTTTTCCATTCAGACCAAATAAGAACAAATGGTAATTTACAAGTCTACAAATCTTTTTATTAACAAACAACAATCACAGTTTCATCCTTCCAGTGTCCAATGTGAGTTTAGCTGTGAATATTTGACCAAATCAGAAGGTTCTATAATAAAACAGACATTTTATATACAGTAAACTGAAGTTCTTCACAGGGCAGAAAAACAAGATAACTTGAAGCAAAACAACACAATAAAAAAAACAATAAAAACTGACATTGGACAGAGACATCGACTCTGTCCCTGCAGTGGTTTATAAAATCAACACATCTGAACAATTCCTGCAGCTGCATTTTAATCAAGAATATTTGTTTCTTCAAACGTTGCTAACTCTGCTGTGACCCACATGCAGAGCTGGCAAAGGTACCAAAGGTAAAACACTCAGTAAAACACAGCACACACAGTAAAAGTAGGAGTAACGATTCAACTTCTTTACTCAAGTAAAAAGCACAGGCTCTGAAATGTAAAGTATAAAAGTGCAAAGCTAACTAAACCTTCTTCCTTTCTTGTCTGTTTCATCATGGAAGGCATGCTATGATGAATAAAATGATTTAACTTTTTTTTTTTTAAACTGTAGGGAGTAGAAAGTTCAATTATTTGTGTGAAGAAATAGAAGGTAAAAAGCTATCAGAAAAATAAATAATATAATAATAGATAGAGATTGTATAAAGTCACGTCTGACCTCTGCAGATTAATCCATATATTACAATGATCAATTATCATCAACAATAACAAATACAAAAAATATAAATATGATAAAAAATAATTTAACTTAATTTTGACATTTTTAAAAATGTTGATGCGTCTCGTTCTATTTAATGTTTATCCTGTAATATCTTACACATACAGCCTACTGTAAGCTCTCATACTGACAGTAATCACAGGTCAGTTGCTTGTTGTCTGTGTGCACTCAATTATCTTGGATTATCTGTAAAATGCGTCGTCACAACGCTGAAAACAGGCTGTTTTTTGGTCTTTTTACAGATACGTGGTTCTCATAGGACAGCGACAGTGTATAAAGGAGTTACAATGCAACATTAACATAACATTAATCCCAAACATCAGATATAACAGTAAAACACTAACAGGGACCATTTTACTGCACAATGAGACCTTAGTTGTCTACATTTGATACTTTAAGTAGATTTTATTGATGGTACAGAAAACAGCGCCATCATGAGGTCAAACAGAAGAACACTACCTTCTACCTGTTAACCAAGCTTAGAAAACCAATGTTTATCTAATGACTTTGACACCAGAATAAAAAGATAATGGAGTTAATAGTAATAATGATAATAATAATAACTCATAACACACCTGATAAATATATGTGGATGGACTAAAAGACTTTCTTTCATTCAGTATCTGGCTCAAACAATCAAGAGTCATCATCAAATGCTAGTTGACATTTCTTAAGTTCATCATGCCTATATTCTCATCATTGTCCTCTGCATTGTCCTCTGCATTGTCCTCTGCATTGTCCTCCTGACTACCTTCCCTGTTCTGCGCGTTTCATCCAGTCGTGTTTGGTGTTGCACAGTCTGTCGCTGAGAGACACAACACCAGTTGTTAGTCAGTGTCTTCAAAAATGTCCCATGAGCATTTTACTCACATTACTCACTGAAACAGCAGGGGCAGATAGAACGTACACTGATACAGGAATCAGAGACAGGGAAACATTTATTTGAAAACATGCAGACAGAAGACATTCAGGACTTACTGGTATTTATGTTGCAGCATTG